GCTGAATTGAATTCACTTAACAAAGACGTCCAATTCGCTATCGAAACTGAGCATAACAACACACTCATTTCTAGATATTGTGATTGGGCGAAGACCAGACGGAACTATCTCTAGGTCCATGAATAGAAAGTCCTCGTGGACCGATCAGTATATGCACTTTGAGAGTTTTGCTCCAATTCAATACAAACGAGATCTCGTGCTTGATCGAGCTGAGGTTGTGTACTCCGGATAATGTGAAGAGTAAGCTAATTCAATTCACGGAAACTCTATAGCTGAATGGTTACCCAGCGCACTAGTCCATCAAGTCAGCCGCACAGAACACCGGCATCATAAATCGCTCACCGTCTGCTGCAGACTGGTCACCAAACCGACTGCGGAACTTCTTTTCGACTTGTTTACACAACCCCGAATGGACGGCTGCTGAGATTTACAGAGGCCATAGCAATCAAGCGCCGAAAGCCCCTGATGTGTCAGCAAAAGGTCAACATCAGTTTGATATTGCCCTGGTAACCACGTAAGCCGAATAGTGAACTGATACCATTTTAGATTATCAACGACTGTGATATATTAATTGTTTTGTATTCTTCAGGAAGCACCAACTGAGATGCAGCGAAATGATTCCGGAATCAAATTGTGCTCGCTTGCGGTGCGCTGTGTTTGTTGTTCAAGTTTATTTCGGGAAATAGTTGTTTTAACATTTTAACTAGTTCCTTTCGAGGCCCGATAATTCAACAAATTCGGGTTAGAAATCTCGCTTGTATTGTCAACCGCGCCTTACGTTCTCATGCCATTGTCACAATTGCAGGTACCGATGCACAACAAGCGGTCCATCCCGTGATCCGCCTGTTCATGAGTTTATTTTTCCCGTGCTTTAATTTCGAAAGTGGTTAGTACTTACTTAACTTTAATACGGTTGGCGCCTTGGAAACGATGAGCCGGTTCTATGAATGTCTCTGATTGCCGCCATAGAAGACATGATGTTGAAGTTACTGGGGCGTTTGATACGAAAGCCATCCCCAGCGTCACTCAGCATTTTTTTTTATTTCGAGGGTACATCTCTAGCCTTTGCACAACCAAATGCAAACTGCAAGGCAACAGGAAGTAATCCATCGCCTAGGAAGTGAGCGGGTCAATGAATTCAGTTTTAAAAGGCCAGCCACATTGAAGTTGTCACAACACTGGCATTGGATTTATGTGGCTTTTAAACAGGAGCCAGTTGACCAGCCTGAAATCCACCACAACCTGGTAGTTTTGCCGCTATTTGTTGGTGACTGCTTATTGTTGCGCTTTGCCACAACTTATTCATAGCTAACCTTATTCGGCGAAGGTATCCCCTATCCGCAACCCAGGGACGCACCTGGTAGTATTCAGCTCCGCTGAACCCGAGGGTATCCAGGTAGGAAAGTCGTTAGTGGGCTTATAAAAGCTTTAACCCAAGTTCATCTACAAAAGAATATGTGCTGTCTATCTCTTCATAATTGTCTTTATTTGTGTGCACCAAAATACACTTTCGTGTGACATCAACAACTCAGAGACCTAGTAGCCTAGTTCGAAAGCGGTGAACTTCGAAAGAATTGTGGTCCCTATGGAATTAACTCATTAACGTATTGGGCTGAACCCACTCATGAAACAATTCATGTCACAGTGTGGTGACCGACTTATCGATTAGTCCAGGAAGTGATTCAACTTCCCACCTGAACGTTTGAAAACAATTAGCACCAAGTTAGCTCATTTTTGTTTGAAGTTTATCGGATCAACGAACGGTACGGGCACGAGCAATCAAACCCGATCACAGGACGAAACTTTCATTCTCGTTTGGTAACCCACTCACAAAGTATGTTTGCTTCTGCATTCCGACCGAAAGAAAGTTGTCACAGACCCTGTCTAAACGGTAACGTGTGATGGCTGAAGAAATAATCCTAGTGGAATGCGGTTTGTGGACCAACTCGAAGTATATATGAAACACTTGGATACCGTAATGAATTTTAACAGGCAAATCAGAAGACAACGACTGTGAGAGGAATTCCTTTCGTATACTCTCATCGGTCGCGTACGTATAACATTGAACAAGATAGACAAGTGAAGCGAATTAAGAAATCTAGTTAGTATTAACCATGTGTGTGTGATTGTGTACAGTGTGTGTGTGATGCACGTGATTGGTTACAACCAGGGAAAGCCAAGGATAAAGGTACACACACTTTTGGACGCACAGTGTGGGTTTGTTGTGAGCGATTGACAATGCCTCGAGTATCCTTAGTCGGTGTTTGTCTGGATGACGTACCAAACCCGAGAGCGCGTTCGCAGGGTCTACCTTGTGACCGCTCTCAACCAAGTGAAGTGCGATGGCCGAAGTCGGTCTGGGTTATGCGGGCAGAGTCTGTGGTGTGGGCTGAGTCATAAAATCACGAACATACTTGGGGATGGGTTCAGCCATTCTAGTTCGCAGTGATCGGTCGGTTCTATCAATGTATGCTATTGCAGCTGCAACAGAAAACGTAAATGCACTGAGAGGTGGACTCGACTGGACGACGATCTTTGAACGGGGGGGGGGGGGAGGCGCCGTGTGATCGGATGGAGTCTTAATGCGGCAGTGTAGTAGATTGTTTGTAAAGCATTTTTGATACGCTGTGTGATAAGCTGCATTGTTGACTCCCCTTTGTGTGGCAACGAGATGTGAATATTCTTTTTAGGCACCCGATGGGTGGTGGCTTCAGTCCAGTTTCCTGTCCGATTATGAAAACCAACGAAAGATTCCGGATAACTGTTTACCCGTAATGCGCTATAGATATTCTCCTGTTCACTTAGTATTGTGTCCTCTGTACATATTTTTCTCGCTCTGTGGAACAATGTTCGAACCAGGGCTCTCTTGTGTTTCACTGGCGAGAAGCTGTTGAAGTAAAGATACTGTCCGGACCAAGTCTTCTTGTGAAGAGAAATCGTTGGATAGAACCGTCACTTTTACGGGTTATAAGGACCTCAAGGAAAGCTAACGAATACGCCTTCTCTACTTCACAGGCGAATTTTAAGTTGCGGTGTGCTGCGTTGAACTCATCCAGCAATACAGCAGTATCGTCAGGGTAATTGAAGTTGATGAACACATCATCTATGTATCCCATACAGAAAAAACGTTTCCTTGATTCGTACTAGATTTCTTAAGTTGCTTCATTTGTCTATGTTGTTCAATGTTATATGTACGCGACCGATGAGAGTAAACCAGAAATTCCTCTCACAGTGTTTCTCTTCTCACTTGCCTGGTCGAAGTGAAATACATTATTTCATTGCGATTATGTTTCGTGAAAGAAATACAACTCCAAAACCTCTCAACGTGTGCCTTTGATCTCACAGTGTTGCAACAACTGGGAAAATACGGAGCTTGATCGGTCAGGAAACCACGTCAAGAGAGAAGTGGGACGGAGGTATTGTGGCTTCAGCAATTGAGATGAAGGGCGATAATATGGAAACCTCTATAACACGGACACAGTTAATCACATGTGACCTGAATTAGTACAGGTCCCACTAACTAAAGGCTGCCTAATAGGCGAGCTGACCCAACTTGCGAGACAAATTTTCGGTTCCGAGTATACGATCGAATAAAGCGATGGACTTAGTTGAGTGGTTGAATTTATTACATTGTGGATCTAAAGGACTTGATCATGAGTGCGATACCACAGTGTTTCCAATAGACATTCGGATTCACACAGCTGGATGCGGCCACGCGTTCATCGGAAACACATCGGTGGAATAGGCCTGGCTCAAATATGAGCTCTAGTCGACGGGATCGCAATTACAGGATGTTCGAAACGGGTCAGTGTACCTGATGTATGGAAGCTGCAAACACACAAAAAAATT